TCCATATACATTCGCGAAAAATCGTAAGCAGTCGCTGCGAGTGTACCCTGCAATCTTGTTAGATATTGCTCAAAAGTAAATGCAGTCAACTCAACTATCATCTTTGATGCAATCAATGCAGTCAAATACAGTAAGTGTACAAAATTTAGTGGGTGAAACACCCCTTGATTTTATTTTCATTTCCTTTATATTAAATTATTCCTTCAAAAAAACAGTTTCCCGATTTTTATTCAACATCCCGATTTTTTAACAGCTTTTTGATTGGTAGGTATACCCGATTTATAGATATTTCAATCTGGCAACCCTACACGGAACGATGCTCACAACTGTCAAAAATCGGAGCTTGAGCCAAGCACCCGTCTATGAATACCGGGCTTAATCTCCAAGAGCGGTAACTTTTTGCTAATAACGAACTTTGCATCATTTGCCGGTCTTGTTAGTGTGTATACCAAAAAACGTGTACCTACTAAAAATCGTTCTAGGTTGAGCCATTTAGCCGTTATTGAGCTAGAACGCCAACAGACAGAAAGACAGAAAACTTCCCTCACTACCGAGGAAAGTAAAAAGGCTTTCAGAGAAATACATTAATTTGTACTATAATAAGGAAAGAAAAACGACAGAATGACATAACTGAAGAAAGAAAATATCCTATCATTATCATGAAAAATAATTGCATGCAACAACAGAATAGATAATATGGATAAAAGTAAACAACTGTAATAAAGTTTAACAATTATTATTAAAAACTAAATTTATCCATATTGTTCAATGTGCCTCTCATCCTGTTCAATACATTGTTGCACCTTCTCTGGGCATCATCACGAGCAAGACGGATAGTGTAACCATTTATATAGATAATAGTTATATTCCTTTCAAGAGTTTAGAATACTAGAGCTACTCGCTCTGGTGTAGTCGACCCGGATTTGAAAGGAATAGTTTAGTTCGGGCTTGAGCACTTCTTGCAACAAACACTTTTCAAAAGGAATAAGCGCGTAGCACTCCGGAGTTGTTCCGGAGCTCTTCCTAGGTGTGAAAGGAATACAACTATTAAAACATTAAAAAGTTTTTTCCTCTAATATTTCAATATTTTCTGGGGAGTCAAATTCCTAAATCTCGTTCTTCGAGGTTCTCCATAGGTAAAAGTCTAGAAGCGTGATGTCATGAGACTTATGGCCGTTTCCACCAACCATTTTAGGGGAGCCCTAACGATAAGTATTCCCTAAAATGACATTTTTACGTGGACAAATGTCAGTTTAAGGCATACCTATCGTTAGGGCTTCCCTAAAATAGTTGGTGTAAATGGCCATCAAGGCGGGTATTATAAAACTGCTTTGACAGTTAACTTGAATTCAACTTTTTGAATAACATGTATTTTCACAAGTTAACTTTAAGTTAACTCTCAAAGTAGTTTTATAATACCCGCCCTTAGGGCTGGTATTATAAAACTATTTTGACAGATAACTAATAAGTTGTATTCCTTTCAAGAGTTTGAAACACTCGAGCTACTCGCTCCGGTATTTAGTCGCCCCCGATTTGCAGGGAACAGATGCGTGGCGCAACCCGCCATTAGCTGGCTTGAAAACTGGGCCGACATCAGAAATTATTCGCTTTTCAAAATGGCGCCTTAGAATTCGCTGAGCCTGTCTCTAGCAGTGTTGCCAGGTCTACTGATTTATCAGTAGATCTACTGATTTGGCCATTGGTCTACTGATATACTGATATCAATGTGAATTCTACTGATAAAAGCAGTTCTCATTATTTAACTGATTTTTATGAAATTTTGACTATAATCATATATGAAAATGTCACAGCAATAATTTCATACTTGACTTGTGAGCTAGGACCAATGACTTTGGGGAATCCCCGGCATTCGTTTGTGCTTGTTTTGTGTCTTTAGTCTTGTTTACTTGCCTTTTTTCTTGCCAGTTGCGTAAAGGCATGCGTTCAGCGTTGTTGTTTGTTAGTCAATTGGTCACATAGCGTTTTGCTGTACAACTAACTGCAGCCTGTTTCATCTGTTTTTATCAGAGACTAGACTACTGCATAGGTAAGGTTCGTTTCACCAGGGTTCATACTTGACCTTGAAACTTGAGAAAAAAGGGTTGTCGTAGATTAGTTCATATGACACATTCAATTTTTTTGACAAATTAAAATGAATGACTTCTGGTTTAAGAACCGACGAACGTTTTTGACGTCATCGATTTCTTTCAGTCAATTTTTATTTGTTAAACAAGGAAGGAAAATGCTGGTGGCAAGTACAAACCCTGGCGAAACAGACTTTAGTGCATTCTTTGGTAGTGCTGATTAAATAGGAATATTTCACGACCCTTGATAAACTATTTCCCAAAAGTAGGTACCTCTAGTATTGGTGTTTAATTTTCCAATGCAAGTTTTCATAATCTAATGCACAGTGTAATGATTTAAGGATTTGAAAAAATGTAACTAATAGTAGAATACACCATGAGTCAATAATGACAGCTATTATTCCCGAGGAATATTTACGAACTGAGCCGCGTTAGCGGCGAGGGAGTAACATTCCGAGGGAATAATAGCCATTATTGCGAGTAGTATACTCTACTTTATTTACGACAAATTAATTTATTTGAAATTTCCTTTCCAAAAACGCTGTTCATCCATCTCAATACAAATACACAAGCACTAGAGTTTGACACTGACACTCGAGTTTGTTCAGATATATTGTTTCCATGGTAGTACTACTTATTTAATTTGAGAAATTTTGTGATTGGTGTGCAAGCGGGAATTACCATTAATCCCTGCAGGAATAATATATGGCATTATACTGCCAAAATCACAAATATAATACTTACATTATATGTCAGTCGTAAATAAAATAATTAATTGAGTATACCTTAATGGTTTACCCCTTTAGGTAGGCAACTTATCTGTCTACTGATTTCTACTGATATTTAAACTGGTAGTCTACTGAAAAAACGAAATATGACCTGGCAACACTGGTCTCTAGTATTAAAGAGTATTATGCGCGGAATATCATCTTGCTGAAACCATATTCCTCAAAATTGGTTTTCCCGGATAGTCCAGGGAAAATAGGTTTCGATCTCGCATTAAATGATGGGGCTCCATTTTTTTCAGGAATGTGTAGGGGATAATGTCCTAAACAACGTCTCATAAAGTCCCATCGATTTTATGCGCCGCGGGGTGGAGGGGGGCGACCCTAAGGTCGCTTTTTTCAGCCTTTCGCGGTCAGAGTGTTTGGAAATTTAGAGATGTTTTAAAATTTCGCTAGTAAAATGCTCGTTAATCAAGTTTGGTTTTCAAGCTCTATAGCTCTTTTAATTACTCCGTAGGCGGTCTAGTTGAATACGTATAGTATACCTAGTATACCCTGTATAAATTAGCTATTTATGTAACAAGTTTCAAAGCGAGCGTGTTTTTTGCACTAAATATGATTGGACCATCATCGTTGGACCACGAGCTTAGCGAGCACGAATCAAAGAAGGCGAGCGTTCGTGTCAGTCATGTCGGTGTTATTCGTGTCTTCTGTGATCTATACATTCGGCATACGCATAGTTGACAAAATTTGTGGTACGTCAGCCTACTGGGCCTTCAAGTTTAAATAAGTGGAACAAGTTTATAGTTTATCAACAAAACATGTCCAATTAAATTGAGACGTCAAAAAGCGTTTAGAATTACTTTAAAAAAATATTGGTTAAATAAGCACGTAAAATCCATCCATTTTTGATTGAACTGGAGCTAGCTACTGTAGTGGGTCACTGGGAAGCACATGTACGCTTTGCCGCCTACAAAAGAAGCTGGAATGCAACATTCCTACAGAGTGTATCTGCAGGTACAGCAATGGTTGGGGAACGAATTCCTTCGAGCAGAAAGTTGGGGATGGATGAGAAAAGATGGTGGATACCTCATCCCCATCAAGACTTTGGCCCCCGACAGTGTCCTCAAAACACTCTTCTGTCGTTGTACCACTGGCTGCGGAACAAGGTGTGGTTGCAGGAGAGCTGGGATGAACTGTTCCATGGTGTGCAATAGCTGTCAAGGCTCATGTACAAACCCAGTGTGTCTATACAACAAGACTTATTGGGGCATTTTGAAGAACAGCTTGACTTATTCGGAACTTTTCCTGAGTAGAAGATGAAATTGGTTGAAAATAATATACAGGGTTCATTTTAAAACTTACCACGCCTATTACCTCGAAGTTGAAAAATTTTCGAAAAATCCCTGAAACACGTCAGCAAAATTCACTCCCCCCATTTTCAACCATGTATATGCAATACAAATACATGTTGATTTAGCTTTTAAGAACTAACGAAACTCAAGTAACGAGCATTTTACTAGCGAAATGTCGAATGTTCGACAATTTGACGTTTTATGCGTGTATCAGACATCAAATTGTTGAAGCAGTCAAAAAAGAGCGAATTTCGCGCAAGTGAGAATGATGCATTACTGTGGGACCTGGTCATAGACGAACTCCTAGTAGAACTTACTAACAGGAACATTTATACCCAGGTTTACTCAGATGATGTACTAAACCATAATCATGAATCATGGAGAAAAATTCACTACTGCGCAAATGCAAAGTGCACTTATAATCGTGGAGGACTGGGTCAAAATCTTGAGTGTCAACCCTGAGAAAACAGCAATGGTCCCCTTCACGTAAAGAAGAAAACTAGACGATCAAAGTCCCTTCCACTTTTTTCGGAAAGCAAATACAATTCGTCTGGGAAGTCAAATACCTAGGAATTATCCTGGATGCAAAACAAACCTGGAACGCGCATATTGAGTACGTCACCAACAAAGGTAAAATGGCGCTAATGGGCAATGGCCACCAAAAGAGCAGTATGGGAAAAAAATGGGGATTTCTATCCCACACAGTATATTGGGTCTATAAAGTAATTGTGAGACCCAGAATAACCTACGGATCAATAGTTTTGTGGCCAAAAATCGAATAGAGCAAAGCAATAATGGAGCTATCCAAACTTCAAAGATTGGCTTGTCTCTGCATAATGGGTACAATGAGAAGCACTCCAACTCGCTGCTATGGAAACCATACTAAACCACTATCGCTGCCACTTGATGTCATTATGAAAGGTGAGGGAAGAATGGGGGCTTACAGATTCAATTGTAGTCAGAACTGGAATCCAAGACGAACATCCGGACATACCAGGATAATAATAAACATTGTTACACAAACTCCACTTTTGAGATGAAAAATGACAACATGACCCCGAGAATAAACATTCACAACTCGTTTCCCCCAGATTAACTGGGAAAACAAAACAGAGAACTCACTAGTCCAGAATGGAAAGTTAGTATATGGTACACTGATGGCCACCGTATTCAAAGCTGAAATACATGCATATGCCTGCGGGAAAATCTGAGAAGTGGATATGTGTACAAATATATCACAATCTTTTCAGAGAGCCAAGCAGCTATTAATGCTCTAGCATACCAACAGATCAACTCAAAATTAGTGTGGGACTGCCTGCAACCCCTTTTAACCCTAGCCAGTCATAATAATAGGTTATTCTTGCGTGGGTGCCGGGCACACACAAGACGCGGACTCCTTAGCCAGGCAAGGATCACAAAGGCAGTTTATGGGCCCTAATAAACCTGTTTCGGGTGTATCAGAATACCTTCTTTGTAGTCCCATTCGAGATCTGGAATTATTGTAAATTCCAGTTTTCGAAATATGGTCGTTTGAGAAATTTGAAAATTAAATTTCCTTAGTCCTTTAAGAAAAGATTCAACTCTAAAATGTTTGTGTTTTCTTCATAAATGATTCAGTGGTGAAGCAACGATTCTAATCTACTTTTACTATATTTGCTAATCCAAAGAGGACGTAAAATTTAGTGGAAAAGTGTGATGTCTAGTAGCTAGCACTTATGTGGGTGGCAAACAACAAACAACTTTTGTTACCGAATTTAAGTTTTAATTTTCAACTGATGAATGAGAACGTACGCGGCTATAGTTTTTGTCCATCCATTTTTTTGGTGTAATTGTAATCCTTTTGTAACTCCCTGTCGTGGGGGTGCGCTGGCAGACGTTCATCATATTACTATACTAGCATATGTAAGCCAATAACGCAGACAAAAAAATGCAGCTTGTGGAAATGGCTTAATTGTCATTGACTCCCGGACTATTTCATGAACTGTTCCACTCCATGTCTATTAGTAAAATATAAACAACTGAGTATAACGTTTTACCTGTTTTTTTTTAGCAAAAAATCTGTAAAACTTGGTTTAGCGATAAAGACATTCACATTCCCAAGAATTTTTAAACTATTTCTACTGCCGAGAAGAACACTACACAAAATGATGAAAGTCGGAAGTTGGGAATAAGTTTCGCGTGCTCGCCAGTGTATTGGTAAAGTTCCCAGGAAAAGGAAAAAACAAGTATGCGTGGATTTGAAGCTGTAAGTAGAAATATTAATGTTTGGTTGCATGGCAAGTAATACAAAACGTAATGGGATAGTTACCAATGGATTTCTCGAATCTACATATATGTAGATATACCTATAAATGGAAGATATATATATATATACCTATAGGTATATTTAGGTATTACCAATTGACATCAGGAGCTGGTAAATTTTTTTCTACGAGTGTGCAAAAAATTCCTTTTTTTTTCCAGGACACAGATTTTTCGTACCCAAATAAATGCGAGAGACAAAGGTATTCTGTATAGATTGTAACTACATGCAGCCCAAGAAAAAACTAATAACTAATTTTCCGTTTTATGTTATAAAAACCTACATATAGGTATTCAAAGGGTTTCGTTCCTAATTTGTGAATGCTATAACATGTGCACAAGGTATCTTTTTCGCCCTTAAAGCTGCTCCGTATCACTTTGCGCACACTTATCTAAAATCAACCCGTTATTAATAACTATTATTATTATTGTTAAATTGATATCATAATTTATATTATTCATCCACTTTTTATTGACGTATGTAAACACTTGTATAATAGAATGAAATAAATTATGTTTATGTTTATCCCTTTCGATGAAACAAAGTTGGAAATTGGTCGAGTAACATTATAAGCTCAGATTTTTCCCAGTTTGCCTTCATAATGGGCCACTTTCACATTTTTCAAAAACATTTTTAAATTATTCTTTTAGTCATTCTAATACTATCTGTATACTTTTTTTCCGAAAAAAAACCCTTATTTTTGAAAAAAAATATATTTAAAAATCGAATTTTTAAACTGGCGTGAAAAAATGAACTTGGTGTGTGACGTCACACACCAGAAAATCAAGGATGCCAAATTTCTCATCAGTAAATCATTACATATTTCACTAGCTAGAAAATATTTTCGTCCTTTACTACATTATAAAAAAATAAAGGATAGGTATAATCCTTATTAACTCATTTAAATTTCGCATTTCTACATGTGGCAACAAAAATGTCAAAATCGGCTTTAGCCAATCACAGAGCGTTTTCAATCACGTGATTTTTCGTTCAAATTTTTAGTTTTTATTTATTAATTTATTTAATAATCTGACTAAAATCTTGCAAAATATTGTTCATTCTTGGTTGCATTGATGTATCTGCGTCAAAAAATATTATAATTTGCCATATTCTCGGCACGTGAAAGTGGCCCATTCAATTCTTTTGCCACAAACACTTTTTTCCTGTCCAAAAACACTAGAATTTCACTCCATAATGAAATTCCATCATAAGACCTCGAACATCCAAAATCCAAATAAGCCTTGATGGAGCATCAACTAAAAAAAAGGGGTACCTATTTACCTAATGAGAAGTTTTAAAATGTTTAATGTAGTATTTTTAGATCGCTCTTATTTGAAACCAAAAATCTGCTTAGTTCCAAGTTGACCCTCACCTATTGTTTTAGAATGACTGCCGCTTGTGTAATAAAACATTCTGTTGCCCAAAGTGCCGCCTTAAACACGAAATAAATAAACACAAAATATTTCCTGAGTGTAATTTGTGTATTTACGGACAATCTGAGTGTGAGGATATAGTCAAAGAAACGCAATTGGAACACTTGGAAAAGACACACTTGCCATTGAACTGTATTTATTGTAGAAAAGTCTTTGCATCCGTGGAAGAAATACGTCAACACCGAAAGTGCCCTGTCTTACAGAAAAGAGACGATTTTCCAAACACGCCGTTTAAAGAAGCAACTATTGGCGAGGCTGATGAAGAGGCCCAAGATAGTCCGATTCTGCAAGAGTTGCAAAGAAAGGAGTTGTTGAGCTACAAATTTGATTTGGCTACAAGTACTCCTATGCCGAGAATACAGGAACCAGTAATATTTGATAAAAATAGGATATCTGATATTCAATTTGATACAGAAAAAAGTGTACCAGTAGTTAACAAAAGTATCATTAGAAAAACGGATTCACGAGTCGATTCCATAAAGGACGAGGATCATTCTTCAAAAAGACGCGTGACTTTTGTGGAAACACCTGGAAATATCAAAAATATGGGTAATTTGTTAGAATATATGTCCTAGTTCAATTTTTTCATGCTCTAATGTATTTATTATAAGTACCTATCTGAAATTTATTTGTTTTTTAGATTCAGGAGTTCGAGAAGATAAAAGAGACAATACACCTGATTATTCAAAAGAAAAAACATCTTGTTCGCCAGTAACCCCAGGTTAGTCTATTTCAGTTTATTATTTAGCAAAATGTATGTAAGTCTCCATCGTATACTTGATTTTTCAATTTTAGCAACTGGAATTGGATCCGACCAGTTTTATAGTGCCAAATCAGAGTTGGAAGACTTTATTCCAACAAGAGCAACTGGATTTTCGAGGCATAGACCACCAGCTGGAGGATGTACACCACGTAAGTCATCAAATTTTGCGTGATAGCCACCTTATGTTTTATATTTTTAGTGGGTGTTTCATTTTTATCTAAGGTCATTCCTGCTAAGGGAAATATTACCGCGTCAAGTGATTACCACGTCTCCAATAAATTAGAAGAAAACCATGGTGTTTCTACAACCCCTAAAAATGAAGATATCAACACCAATGAAGTTGACATGGATATCACTTGTGAACACTTGCCGACTTCGCCTATTGTTTATCTGGAGAATATAGAACCAAGAGGTAAGGCCTTTGATAGGTACCTCTACCTCTGCAACTAAATGAGATGAGAGCAGAGTATTTTCCTAGTTGCACATCAGAAACAATTTTCTTTTTTTAGGGGACGCTTGCAAAATTACTACAGAAGCATCCATAGTTCGAAACTCTAATGAAAAACGTAAGTCCTCTCACTCACTTCCTCAGAAAAAAAATGTTCAATTCATCCAGAAACCTCTAGTAGATTATTATAGTTTTTGTCACTATCACTCTGAATAAATTGACATTTTATCCCAACTTCAAGCAATTCAAATACACTTTCCTTTTTTTTAGCAACCGAAATCGACCGATTCGATACTGCCAACTCAGAGTTCAATAAGGTTTCTTCTACCCCTGGATTTATCAGACGAAGAGCACCGCCATTATCTGAAAGATTTGCACCTGGTAAATTTTGTCAAATTATGAAATTTCTGTTTGATTGTACTGCTCAAATTCTTAGTAGAGGTGCCTCAAATTCAATCCAAAACAAATGCCCAAGCAAATAAAAATGCTTTGAGCGACGCACCAAATCTATCAATACAAAAAACATTTAGTGCTGCTACTTCAAAAGACGGAAGTCTGAATACAAGTGGCCCAATTGAAGTATCCATGGAATTGGAATGTAGTTGGGAAAACCGGAAATTTGAATCGATAGAAAAATGTTTACCACTGAGCTCAATAAATTCATCAAAATCACCTTCATTTTCACCACGAACCAGAATTAGCGAGCAATCGGAAGAAGGTGAAGCTAATTTTTCTATACATGGTATGTCGTTTTGGATTATTAGTTTATAGGCCCCCATTACTTTGAGTTAAAAGGCAGAGTTACGCAATAAAAATTAAACTCATATCCTTTTTTTTTAACAATTCATTTATTTATTTAAATAGTTGATAACAATAATGAGAAAAAGAATCTTCAAACGCACTGTAGTAGCTCTGGCCCCAAGAGTACCTACTAGATTGTAGATTGCGGGGAGTAGTTTCGGCTTTTCAGCCGCTCAGCACTGCTACCTTTGCAGATATTTTGTACATGACTCTACATCTCAAATTGTCTCCAGGAAGCGTAGACTTCTGCCGAAGGAAGCTATTTTCCTGGGTGTTAGTTGGCCCACTTCTTCTGGTGACAATGTTGCCCCCTCGAGGAATTTGAGCCTCTTGCAGAATTGGGCTGAGCAGGTACTCTGCGGTCTCTATTGCGTCTGAGCAGAATCTGCAGAGATCGTCTTCCGCTCTGCCCATTAACCTTAAATGGTATTTTACTGGGCAGTGTCCTGTGAGCAGTCCCACCACCAATCTGATGTCTGGTCTGCTCATGCTTAGGAGCTGTTCAGCTCTTTTTGCTGAAATGGTAATGAACCTTTTAGAGTGTCTGAGTCCCGGTGTGTGCCTCCAGTATGATGACAGTTGGTCTTTCTCCCATTTATTGAGTTCTTCCATGATGTGGTTTTTCATTAAGCCACAGTAGGGCTCTGGTCCATGGTATGGTGTTGAGGCCCCTTCCTTTGCGAGGCCATCTGCTTCTTCATTACCTTCTATGCCTCGATGACCAGGCAGCCACATCAGCGTTACCTGGTTGTGTGTCGCTAGTGTTTTTAGGGTCTGTTTACACTTCCAGACTAGTTTTGACGTGCATTTGAAAGCCCTTAAGGCTTTTAAGGCAGCTTGGCTGTCCGATAGTATGAAGATGTGTTTTCTTTTGAGGCTTTGGCTAAGACACTCTTGTGCACATATATCTATGGCAAGCAGTTTGGCTTGAAATATTGTATGATGTTTACCCAATGCCTTGGAGAGCTTGAAGTTAGGGCCGGAGGTGTCCAGTCCAGCTCCTTCCATTAGCTTGGATCCATCTGTGTACCACAGAGATGCATTGTCTGCTTGTGGCAATTCTTTATTCTCCCATGATTGGCGGTCGTTTATTACCATTGCGAATGGGATCTCTAAGTCCAATCTGACCATCATGTGGTCGCTTGGTTTGCTGACATTCTCCAGTTTTATTAAATCAAGGATTCGCAGATGTCCCCTCAGATCACCAGGCTTGAACTTGTCTATTTGGAATAGCCTGTGAGCGCTGGTTATTTCCTCCTTTTTCACACATAGATGAAGTGGGGGCAAGTTGAGTAGCGTCTCTAAGGCTGCGGTGGGGCAAGTTGACATTGCTCCCGTTATTCCTAGACATATCAGCCTTTGCACCTTTCTGAGCTTCATCTGAGCAGTGACTTGTTGGGTTTTGGGCCACCACACCAATGAGGCGTATGTGACCATGGGTTTTATTATAGTTTGGTAAATCCTGAATACCATCTTTGGCTTCAGCCCCCATGTTTTGACAACAAGTTTTCGGCATGACCAAATGGCTGATGTAGCTCGAGAGCATGTTTTCTCTAACTGTTTGTTCCAAGTGAGGATCTGGTCCAGGGTGACCCCCAAGTACTTCACGTCGTTGGAAAATGTTAGTTGTGTACCGTTAAGGGTCGGGGCTTTCAGATTTAGCCTCCTTCTTCTTGTGAAAGGATTGTTTTGTTTGCGTCTAGGGATAATCCTTCGCCTTCGCTCCAATTTTTAACGATGTTTAGGGCACTTTGCATTCGGCTTGTCACTACGCCTTCATGTTTGCCCTTGATTACAATGGCTAGGTCATCTGCGTAGCGTATGACCTGGTATCCAGCACTACTCAGTCTGGTAAGAATTTTGTCTACCATCAGTGTCCATAGTAGTGGAGAAAGAACATCCCCTTGGGGACACCCTCTGACCGTGGTAGCGGTAGCTGATGCTCCGTTTATTTCAGCCGTAACGTGACGGGGTTTCAGCATCGACTCTATCCATTTTACAATTGGAACTTCAACATCCCATTCTTGTAATGCTCTGGCGATTGATTGATGTGAGGTGTTGTCAAAGGCACCCGCTATGTCGATGAAAGCTGTGAGAGCGATCTCTTTGCACTCGATTGTCTTTTCAATGTCTTTAACCAGGCAGTGTAAAGCACTTATTGTGGATTTGCCTGGCTGATAAGCAAATTGCTTCGAGTAGAGCGGTCTTCTCAATAGAGTTTCGCTTCTGATGTACTGGTCGATTGCTTTCTCCATTGTCTTAAGGAGAAAGAAGGTTAGACTAATGGGACGATGTTGAACGTTTATTTTTGTCTGCCACAAATTTCAAAGATATGTATGTGTAGGCCCGTTGAATTTCTCTCAGAATATGAGTTGTGAGTAAATTTTTTTTATAAGAAATAATTGATAATTATTCAATAGGTGATTATGTCATTATTTTTCCCATCAGAAATTAAAATGATTTGGATAAATGTTTCAGTTAACATTTTCTGTGGCGGCAATTTTATTGATCACTTAGATAACCATCGGTAGGTATAAGACAAATCCTAAACAAATTTATTTTTAAATTTTTAGGTTTGAAAGACAATGCACAATGTGAATCTTCTAAATATGAAGATAATAATGAACAAGCACATGGCACAGAGACTGGAGATGATTTTTTCGAAACATTACGGCTAAAACGTGCCGGTATCTATCTTAATAATACTGAGGATGATGAAAATACACCACCTAATACGAAAGTGCAGAGCCAAAAAATAAATGAAACTCTTCATGCTCATGCTAAATCATCAAAACCTAAAAGTAAGTGATCATTTTGGAAATCCTGTGCATAGAAAACCAGCAAAGCATATTTATATTGTAGGTTTGAAAAACAATGAAGAATTTGAGTTCTCTAAAGCTGATCAATCTAATCTTCCTATGGATGCAAACAAGCAAATTAATGATATTTCTCACAAAACCTTACGGCTACAAAGTTCCGGCATCCCAGACCATTTGAACAATACTGAGACTGATGAAAATATACCACCTAATATTGAAGTTCTCAGAGAGCAGAATAAGGAAACTCTTCATGCTCCTGCTAAATCATTGAGACCTAAAAGTAAGTGATAATTTTAGAAAAACTCTTTTTGGAAAAAAAAATATTTCTAATTCCTACCTACAGAAAACAAAATCTACACGTGCTTGAGTTGTCATTTTCCACAGGTTCAATTTTGATCTATAAATGGGTCTAGAAAACCATCAGTACGCATAAAAAACCAGCAAAGCATATTTATTTTCTAGGTTTGAAGAACAGTGAAGTATTCGAGTTCTGTAAAGCTGATCACCATAACCTTCTTACAGATGTAAATCAACAAATGAATGATATTTCTCTCAAAACATTACGGCTAAAAAGTTCCGGCATCCTGGATTATCTAAACAATACTGAGACTGTAATCATTTTGGAATCCTTCTTTAAAAAAAAAATCCTATTATGAAGCATATGAAGCCATGCGTTTCCTTCCCAAAACTTCTACAATTTTGACCGTTTGAAGGTTTTTCTGTCGCCCTTAAATTTCCATGATATTTACATCATAGAGGCTTGTTGAATTATCCTTGAATGCCTTATTCTGAGCGTGCACAGGGCCAATATTGGTCCAGATAATTATTAGTAGGCATAGAAAACCAGCAAAGGTTATTTATTTTGTAGGTTTAAAGAACAATGAAGAGTTCGAGTTCTTTAAAGCTGATCGACCTAATCTTCCTATGAATGCAAATGATCAAATTAATGATATTTCTCTCAAAACGTTAAGGCTGAAGAGTTCCGGCATCTTTCACCAACTAAACATTACTGAGAATAATGAAAATACACCACCTAATATTAACGTCCTTAGCGAGCAGAATGAGGAAACTCTTCATGCTCCTGCTAAATCATTAAGACCTCAATTAAAACATAAAAGTAAGTGATCATTTTTATAGAAGAGAACAAGGTGTCTTTTGTTAATAGGTATTTAAAAAAGTAAGTACCTACCTAATTAATAAACCTAGAAAACAAAATCCACACGTGCTTCAGTATTTTCCAAACGGCCAATTTTGGTCCAGATAACCATCATTAGGCATAAAAAACCAGCAAAGCATATTTATTTTGTAGGTTTGAGAAACAATGAAGAATTCGAGTTCTCCAAAGCTGATAAATCTATCCTGCCTATGGATGCAAACAAGCAATTGAATGATATTTTTCTCAACAAAACGTTACGGCTGAAAAGTTCCAGCATCCTGGACCAACTAAACAATACTGAGACTGATGAAAATACACCACCTAATATTAAAGTTCTCAGCGAGCAGAATGAGAAAACTGTTCATGCTCCTGCTAAATCAATAAAACCCCGATTAAAACATAAAAGTAAGTGATAATTTTGGAAATCCTCGTTTATAAAAAAATCTCTTATATGAGGCTTAATAAGAAAGCCATTTGTTTTCTTTCGAAAACTTCACAATTTTGAATTTTATCTCCCATAAAGGACCCTGCACACTTCTTATGGGATTTCTGACCGCGGTCAAATTTAACCAAATTTCATTGTTATACATACAGGGTGTCCCAAAAAGATACCGACAAACTTTAAGGGGTAGTAGGGGACATCAAAACAAGCATTTTTGTTTATATAAACATATTTCCGCAAATGAGCCATTTGGGCTGTAGAGCAAAAAAACTCTTTGGTATCTAGTTTTATTCTTCGCAATAATTGAATCACTGTTTACTTATAATTTTGCTTTAATAGCAAATAAATTATGGTTTACAATAATTGTTCAACTCACAAACTCTTTGGAATATTCCGGGAATAGCTTCTACATGGGTACAACTCCCAGTATTCTTGCTATCAGATCTTCCTTATTACGAACAGGTGTTTCGTAGACTAAACTTTTCAGTCAATGACCCGGCGGTGTAATCTTTGCATTGAAGTAAGTGGTCAACATTTTGAACAATTATTGTAAACCATAATTTATTTGATAATAAAGCAAAATTAATAAGTAAACAGTGATTTAATTATTGCGAAGAATAAAAGTATCAAATAGTTTTTTTGCTCTACAGCCCAAATGGCGCATTTGCGGACATATGTTTATATAAACAAAAATGCTTGTTTTGATGTCCCCTACTACCCCTTAAAGTTTGTCGGTATCTTTTTGGGACACCCTGTATATCTCACCTTTCTGAATATTAACTACCATAGGCATAACTTAATCCTATGACTAGGAGATGCAGGTAGTTTAATTTCCAAGAAATGTATACATTTTATATGCATTTACATTCACCTGTCACTTAATAATATACCAGGATGGTGACAGGTAGATGTAAATGCAATAAAATGTGTGCATTTGTTGGACCTTAAACTACCTGTATCCTGTATCTCAAAAACTAGTCATAGGATTACGTTATATTCTTTGGTTATGCCCATGGTAGTTATTGATCAGAAAGGTGAGATCTATAACTAAAATTTGGCTAAATTTCACCGCGGTCAGAAATCCCATAAGAAGTGTTCGGGGTCATTTCCAGAATATTTACATAGTAAGGGCCTGTTGATATTTCCTCAAATGGTTTATTCCGGGCGTTCTGAGTTTATGTATCTTTTATTTGCTTTAGTTGAAGGGCGGTAACGGTTATTGTTTTCATAAGAGTTTATAATATGGGGACATTTTTTTCGTGCCGTTTAAAGCATTGTCTAATGCCGTTTCTCTCAGAATTTAAGTTGCGTGTGAATTTTATTTATATAAAAGAGAACAAGCTGTTAATATTTAAAAAAAAAAGTAATTATTAAACGTAGAAAACAAAACAAAATCTACACGTGCAGTATTTTCCACAGAGCCAATTTTGGTCCAGATAACCATCATAACGCATAAAAAAAACAGCAAAGCATATTTATTTTGTAGGTTTGAAGAACAATGAAGAATTCGATTTCACTAAAGCTGATCAACCTATTCTTCCTATGGATGCAAACAAGCAAATTAATGATATTTCTGTCAAAACGCTGAAAAGTTGCGGCATCCTGGACCAGCCAAACAATACCGAGACTGATGAAAATACACCACCTAATACTAAAGTCCTCAGCGATCGGAATGAGGAAACTCTTCACGCTCCTGCGAAATCCTTAAAACCTCGATCGAAAAACGATGAAGAATTAGAATTCTCTAAAGCTGATCACTATAACCCTAGAGATGTAAAGGATCAAATGATTGATATTTCTCTCAAAACGTTGCGGCTGAAAAGTTCCGGCATTCTGGACCAACTGAACAAGACCGATGAAAATACGCCACCTAAAACTGAAGTTTCTACCGAAAAGAAGGAGGAAACTCTTCATGCTTCTGCTGAATCTTCAAGATTAAGTAGTAATGATTGCACCTATTATCACAATACTAAAGAAACAAAAATCTCTATCACGACTGATTCTCGTGCTGAGTCATCGCAACAAAGAGCAACCACTTCCATGCCAACAGCCGTTTTCAAGAAAACAGATGTTTGTATAAGCTTTAATTTTCCAAATCACTTTGCTTCAACCCCAATAATACACAAAACCGTCAAAATTAAACAGATTAATATAACAGATGAAATATCCAAAATTCCTAAGGATTTGTTGTCCTCCAAATCTAATACTTTATCATTACCCAATAATTATTCTTCTGAAGAAACAAATGAATGCAAAGATCTTGCAATTTGCGATTCCAAATCAGAAAATAAAAAATCTTCTAAAGGCTTTGTCACAGTGAGCTCAATGACAGACTTGAGCCTGTGGACATCAATGACACGAATTTTTCGAACTGTTTTTGGAGGACTTCATAGTCGGAGCAAAGATGTTTTAGACGCTTCTAGCTCCAACTTGAACCGAGATTCCTTTAAACGACCACTTTCAGAGTCAGACTCTAGTCCACCACATGTAAAACGTTTCAAATTTTCGGATATCAAAGGTCGCAGGCCTATTAGAGAGCCATTTGAGTTACCTTTCAGAGTGGCCCTATCGAGGGCCCCATCTTCTGACCGAGTTGCTACTTCAGGATATGCTAGGACAGTATATGAAGCTGGTCCAAGATGCAAGATTTTGTGGGACAGAGCTACCCAAACAGATGATTATCTCATGGATGGATGGCAGCCTCAACTAAAGTAATGTTGCTGGAGATCTTTTTTTTGAAAATAATTTTTTACCATTTTACATTCAGCAAATAGACGACACATTTGACAAATTCATGAAGAAATTGTAATTTTTTTCTCTTATGTGTTTTGTATTAGTTGTCTTGAAAATTGTTTGTCAGTCGATCTTATTTATACCAATATACCATTTTAACGTTAATATAGTGGTTGCAATTTGGAATTTTCTATAACGAAACCCTAGCTGGGAAAGAAAAAAACCAAATCAACTACACATACCTAGATTATTATATCTTCTGTACTGAAAATAATTTTGTTTCTTTTTTCATGTAATAGAATTAACTGCTTTATTATTATTAGAATTTGTAGATTTGTGTTTTGCTTTACTAGATATAAGAAATTTTAAATTGTGTTTGTTTAATCAAATAGGATTTAACACTTCTCACTCACTTATTACTAAAAGAATATACTGCTTTATTATTATTAGATTGCCTAAATTTGTATTTTGTTTTATTATATCTAAGAAAATTATAGGAAATATTACTGATTTGTAAGATGATTTTTCAAATAACAGAGGATTTTCATACTTTCAACTAAATATTAATACACTCTTATTGGCTTCTTTTTTTTTGCCATTCTATCAACCCCCAGTTTCACAATTATAGGTATATTAGAGCATTCTCGTATTCCATATATTTCTAATTTTTTTTATTTCATTGTAATTTCTTCAATTATTATTTTCGTCACAGGAAGCGGAATGCTGAATGAATGTTTATTTTTTGAACCACACTTCCAACACAATATAAATCAATGTTTTCAAATAAAATTAATAAGCCTTTATTTAAGCAGTTAGCAGTCACTTCAGTGTCTTTTAGTAATTTCAAGTTTTAACCTTCAGGCGAGATAAATGTAAAATGTTCTGAGCCAGAAAACTTTAACCATTGGTCATCAGTTTGCAAGTTTCATTCTGACATATAGATTCTGGGTTGGTATTTAGGAACCAAGGTAAGTCATTAACAAAAACTAAATTAAATTAAACATAATGCATTGGTAAATTTATAATTATGTATATTTAATACAAAATGACTATGTAATAGATTCATACATATAATGACAATTATTCAAATTGAAGGTAATATTATATTCTCAGTAACAAAAAAAAAAATTAAATACAACAATGAGAAACTCTGTTAAAAAAAACTTGTTATCAAAAAAAAATTAATTAGGTATATCACAAATTATTTAACTAGAACTAAATGGCTCCTCTAAAAATTTAGAAATATTTCACATTCATTTTGAATTTTCCCACCCAAGCACGTATCTACTTGGGCTCTGTACTGGATCACATTTTAGTCCTGAGTAAGCCTCAGGTTTGTAGGTGACATGCGTCATGCGTAGTACCCATATAACATTTGATATAAAATATACATTCATAGCTCCCATTAGCTCAACCATCAAGGATTAAATTGTGTTCAAAGTACCGGCACTTTTGTGCAAAATAAATATAATCAATGTCAGCTATTGAGTTTTGTTTATGTAGCTGACCTGATATAAATCGACCTGTTCAGTGATGCCGCGAGAATCGAGACTGGTCTCGTCTCGTCTCTTTTCGAGACAAGACTGGCTTTGGGTCTCGTCTCGTGAAGTCTCGACGAGAGTCTGGCGTAGTCTCGAGTCTCGAGATTACAATTAAAATTTTTCTTTCATAGCTTTAATATTGGACTATTCTGGGCTATTTGAATATAAAATCAGTGAACCCTAGAAAAATAATTAAAAAAATCCTTCTCCAGAATTATTTTTGGTAATAGGTATGAAGAGGTAAATGTGAAAATTCACCTTTGAATTTTACAGGTAATTACAATTTCAATTTTTTTATTTTTTATTTTTATTATTTTTTTTTAATTTTTTTTTATTTTTTTTTTTATTTTTTTTTATTTTTTTTTATATTTTTTTTTTAATTTTTTTTTTCAGGTATTTCATTTAATTCTCTGACATATTGTCAACGGGATATTTTCAGTGTTGCAAATTTTAATAAATTATAAAATGCAAATAACTTTCCTAACAATGCCACTAGATTTTTTAAATTATTTTTCTTCCTTGAAGGGTCCTTCAACACATAGTGAAGAGTTTTTACGCTATTTGCCGGACACCCTGTATAACTCGAGGCCAGACAAGACCACTCGAGACAAGATGAGACTTTGGTACTCGAGACCGGGACTAAGTCACGGTCTCGTATCAAGATGTCGAGACGCGATGAGACCAACCAAGTCTCGTCTAGTCTCGTCTCGCGGCACCACTAGTCCTGCTGGACACCTATATGTTAACTGTCTTGGTTAACCAGTTTTTGAGATAGTAAAATGAAAATCTAAATAGAAGTAATGAAAACCTGGGAGGAAAATTCAACTTGTAACAAACCATGTCATACAAGTAAATAATGAAAAGGATAAAATATATATATTCAAAAATTTGCATACGAGTTATAGCTACTTGGATGACATAAGAATTGAAATGTACATCAAAGATAGAGAATTAAAAGCTACATTTATATTGAATCAAACAATTAGAATGCACAACTGATTGAATATCATATTTTTAGTCACTTAAATTTAATTAAATAACTATTTAATCTTAAGAAGAAATAAAACGGATGAAGTCAGTCCTCCCTAAAGACTGCTTTACACTTCGCAGTTTTTATGCTTACAATAAAACCTGCAGGGATTCAAATATTTTATTATTACCACTTGGCTGTAGTCTGAAAGATTGCGGCAAGAAAAGTTGCGATCTGTGAAGCGGCCTTAAGTATGTTAAAGCATAATTTTAATCTGAAGTTGATGGTTCCGGGGATTCGTGTCTTTTCCTTGACTTGATCCTCAATTCATCCAAATAAGTTTTTTGCGATTCAGCTAGAACTTGTGCCATTATTTCTTGATCGAAGTCTTCAAAACCACCTGAAAATATATTCAGAAATTTGAGAAAAATTGAATTTTCCACTTATAAAGAAAGAATATCTTCTACCACAGGCACTAATGTTATGAACGTACTGTTGGACTATTCTCTTTTGGGTTTTAAATTAATTTTGGATTGTCACTCATTAAATCAGAGACTATTTGGACCTATATAATTTATCATTTTTCCAATAAAAGTGCACCTGCTGCAATTGGTAAATCGTGAACCATTTCAGGTGCTTCTATGGTTGTCCAAATCCTGAAATCTTACGACCCAAACATTTTGATGCCCTATCAACAAACGCCATTTGTTAGAAAGAAAGAAAGTGAATTAATGTGGCACAGTCTTAATAAAAGTTTGATAATAAATAAAATATTTGATTTGTTTTCAGTAAAAAAATTCTATGTAGAAGATTCTTTACATGGAAGTTATTTCTTACAAAAACACACTTGCTGACAAGATTAGAGTACACGCGCATGAATCCTTAATGCGACAAGTCCAATGATCCTGTGTGAAGTTCTACAAATATTTTCGAGCCGCCATTGAGTCTGCTGTTCAAAATGAAAGGAGTGGAAAAATGACCCCTGTCCTCACTTCAGTGCTACCTGTGAGCTTATGACCCAAATCTCGCTGTAATCCAATAAACCCGTTTTTCCGGAAGATGATGTCACTGCTAAATTCTTAGGCATAACTTTAGATTCTAGACTAAGATGGAATCATCACACATCTTCCTTGGTTTCCAAATTAAGCTCTAACACCTTTCTACTTCGTAGGCTGTCAGACAGTGTATCCCAGTCAGTCCTAAGACAGACATACTTTGCCCTTTTGCACTCCCATATATCTTATGCAATTTTAATTTGGGGCCATTCTACTGGCGCAACAGATGTCTTCAGTGTCCAGAGACGTGCAGTTAGGGTTATCGCAAACTTATCATACCGTGATGACTGTCGACACGCGTTTGTGTCCCTAGGGATCTTGACTGTCCCTGCTCAATTCATTCTTGAATGTGTACTGCATGTGAGGAATAACCTGCATAATCTTGACAGGCATGAGAATGTGCATTCCTATGAAACCCGCAACCGTGGGCAACTAGTGCCTCCGCACAGACGACTTAAAAGAGGTCAAGATGGCCCTGGCTTCCTTGGGATCAGGCTTTTTAATAAGCTGCCCCCTCACGTTTGGGAGATGCCCCCCAATACTTTTAGAAGGGCTTTCAAAGATTTTCTTCTGAGTAAGGGATTTTATAGTGTTAGTGAATTTTTTAATTGTAATGTTATCCTTTGAAAGTGTGATGTATTCTATAGTACCTGACTTGTTTTTTAAATTCTTGTTTTTTAAATTGTGGTAAATTAGGATTAAGTTTTACAATTTTTTTTAGAATTTTTATATAATGAATAGTGCTTTACTCTATTTTTTTATTACATTTTTGACGTGTGTAAGTACTCTGCTCTGTATAATAACATGAATAAAGAATTTGAATTTGTTTAATAGAAACAACCAATTAAATTATCTAATAAATATTCTGTCTTGTTTTTCTGTGTATATAATGCTCAATATAATGCATCATGCGCTATGTGCTTAAAAATCTTGCAACTTTTTGGCCGAGTTTTTTCTGTATCTAGTAGGAACTATATGTATTTAAGGTTACAGCTCTTACTCATGTTATCAATGATGGAAGAAGGTCCTGCTTCTTCTTTTACGAACTTTTCCAGGTTCATGCAGGTTTCATTTTGTTCTGAGATTCGACGGGGTGAATTGTACACTCTTTTGGCAAATGCTTCTTCTTCTTGGGTGGGCACATAGGTGAGGAGAACATCAGGCTCCAAGTTAGATCCGAAATTCGCTCGAGGGCTCGCTAGGAAAAAAAAAAATTATTTGTCAAGATGTACCTGAAGACACTGTGCGGCATCATAGACCTAACTATAATATAATATATAGTACAGAATCACAAGTAGGGATGTTCGTTTACCGCTTGTGAGTAATACCTCATTCAATCAATCGATGCTTTATTGTAGGAAGAATAAAATTCTCATTTACAAAGCGGACATCTATAAGCTACACAAGAATACTTAAAAAATACCTACTTAGTTAATAAAATCACAAAAAAAAGAAAAAAAGTTAAAAACCTTTCCTAATATGAAAATCAGCTATTCATGTCATGCCCAATCACTTCTCAAAGTGGTTCCAACATATCATAGAACAGCTGTAGAAAGTCGGGATAGTAAGTAAATTCTTACCTAATGGAGTTATAGTTTTAGGAGAACCTCCTCCTTTGGGAGATTGACATCCTTTAGGAGATACAGATCCTCGACGAGAAGCTCTTGGGCTGGAGACTGTGGCCGATGTAACAGTGGAACTGCTACCACTAGCCAAAGGATGGCCCTGGTCTTTCAACCGCTTCTCCGAGTCCCGGAAATATTGGATGTAAGACTCGCGAGCCACTTGTTCTTCAATAGCTTCATTCGTGGCTTCCCAATCTGTAGCATTCAACTTATCTTCAAGCATAGTCTAGGGAGGGGAAAACAGTACGCAATTAAGTAAAATTTAAACTTCTGAAAATATTTTTCAAAGGGCATGCTGAATAATTTTTTGAAGCGATTAGGTACCTACTGCACTCCAGGAATAAATGTATGTATGAGAGTGTGTACTAATTTTGAGACTAATTCTATTCTATCAAGAACATTTTGGAAGAAAATTTCCATTGAGGTTTAAGGCTGAAAATAGTAAGGTAGCTTCACTTCAGGAAAGTTACGAACAAAAAATGTCAAAGTCAAATGTTAAAATTGAGTTTAAGCTTATACCCTCAAGTTGCAGAAAGTCGACCCACATACCTATAGCAAAACATACAAAGTCGTTTTGCAGTGCAATACAAAAAATGAGGTCCAGAAAGCTAGTTCATTATCTTTCCAAAAAAATCTGTAATGTCAACTTGCACTAGCTATCCTTCAGATATGCAAATAATAGAGGGAACCTATGTAGAAGGTTAACCAGTTTTTGAGACAGTAAAATGAAAATCTAAATAGAAGTAATGAAAACCTGGGAGGAAAATTCAACTTTTAACAAAAAATAAAATAAATTAAATTATTAAAAAAGAACCTGCGGCTCGTTTCGTACCTTACAACATGCTCGTGTATTAATGGCTATCATTACATGATCATTGCATAATATACTATTGTGTTGTTTCTTTCCTTAGGATTTCAAAGGAAAAAAATATTGCATGGAAGGTGTCAAGCAAAAACGTCATGGTTTCATGAAGGTTAATGAAATGCATGTGGCACGAATTTCATTGTTTAACCATGGCCGCCATATCACTTGGATTGCCTCTCGGATTCCCCTACTGAATGTGCAAGCTTGATTTTTGGTTCTCATAAGATTATCATGATAATATGATTGGATTTTATTTCCATGTCCATTCCACCCAAACAATCAGTCAATAGTCAATGCGCAAGAATTGAATCAATTAAGATATTTATTCTCACACGAGTTCTCACATAAAAGTTTTTGATAATTAAGGTTCTTACCTGTTCAATAAGCAATTGTTCGCTAGCTCTTACTGCATCATGAACTCTGCGTCTATCAATGTCTACAGGATGATAGTTGGGCAATCCCAATCCGACTCCAACAGATGGCTTATTTGGATTACTTATAGAATTATAGTGACACATTCTATGATAAGAAAGCCTTATTGGTTCATTAGCGTTGATGATTGTTGTAGAACCATTGAATATATTGATTGGTTCTAAAAAAATAATTAAAGATAACAAAAAATATTCAGTTTCAAATTTCATTTATAAATAGTATTATGTACTAATAAAAAAATGTTTTACCAATTTGATAGCAGTAAACTTCAATAGTTCGATTATAAAGTTCACTCATGGCTTGAATCTCCAAATGATTTCCATGAACATGCCAAGTCCTCTTTCTAGCTACATACTTATCAAAATCTTCAGTTACATATGGTTCAAAATAATCACGATTTTGCACCTGCAAAATATTATTTCATTATTTTAAAACTGCACTATTTAAGTGAGTAACAAGGTGAGCAAGTACTTACGATGTAATTCATGCAGTCCTGACGAACTTGATTATGAAATTCTTGATCCCCATAAACTTGATCTGCAATAGAACGGAAAAGGCAAGCTCCATCTTCCTTCATTTGTTTAATTTCCCATCCCAATCTTATCATGTAACGAGAGAAGTGTTCATCTCTCTAAAAGAAGTTATTGCATAATTAGTGAAAATGGGGTTAGTCCAGTAGATAAACAAATAAAAATTAAAAGCAATAGGGACTTACCTTCTGCCATTCCACACCAGTAAGAACTCTATCTTTGAAATTATTATCATCATATTCATCTTCACTATTGAAGCCTGTAGCATCTACTTTCACCTCAGGAGTGTTCTTATTATTATTGCAAGTGGTCTCCACAGTGGGTTCAACTCTATCAGTATTACTATCTGAAAGAGATTCACTTCCCAAGTTTGCTACTACAATTCGATCTCTTTTTTGCTCACGTCTTATGTCCCTTTTCTGTTCCCTGTCCCTTTCTCTGTCGCGGTTTCTTTCAGGTTCTTTGAATCTTTTTCTTAATCTTTCTTTTCGATCGTTTTTGCTGTAATTTAAAAAAATGATATTGAACATAAATCACCGTGAGGTGTACCACTTGGACAAAAAGTGTACAGTGATTTCCTAGATCCGGAAATAGCAGAGTATTTCTTGTATTTTCTGGGAAATACTTTGCTAGATATTACCAGTATTACCTGTAGCAGCACCGAATATTACCAGTACTTCCAAGTATTACCTAAAGTATTACCTAGTATGGATAATTAACAACCATATTTTGCCAAAACTGCAGATTAGTTTTTTTGAAGATTTTAAATTTTTATAACACATTTTGGCTACCAGTTTAGGTACCTATAGTTGGAACAGTTTAGGTACCTATAGTTGATTCTTGTTTATGTTATCCTGGGACATCCACCAGTTAATGCCAACCTTCATGTCTTTGAAAAATGTTCCGTTGAGTGGTCAGCCGACTGTGTAAGAAAAATCGAAAAATCTAATTGGTGTTGACAGATTTGTGATGGTTTAGCAATCTATGTATTTTATGATCTCGATTCAAACTACTAAATTGAATGTTTGGGATACTCAAAACAAACTTTTTTTACTGACGTTTCATAATACGCCTGAAATCTGTTTCATAATGAATTTCATTATGATACAGATTTTCATTATGATACAGATTTTTCAGCCACTGGAATCGAGTATTTTGAACTTGAACAATGTTTATATAAAATTAACAAACTTGCTCTGGAATTTTGGATTGTTTCTATTAGTATTTACCAGAAGAAACATCAAAAAATTAATAATCGGGTGCGGAATTTATGCCCAAATGACGTCTAGATCCTAATTTTTGAAATTGTCAAGTTGTCAACAATTGTCATCAGTTGAGAAGTTTACTATTCTTATAAAATAAATATGTTTTTCGTTTATTAATGCAAGTAGAAAAAATAGTGTATGCAATAACTCTCATGTAATGGCCATTAATACACTCGCATGTTAGATACGAAACTCGCCTGCGGCTCGTTTCGTACCCTACAACATGCTCGTGTATTAATGGCTATCATTACATGATCATTGCATAATATACTATTGAGCTGTTTCTCTCCTTAGGATTTCAAAGGAAAAAAATATCGCATGGAAGGTGTCAAGCAAAAACATCATGGTTTCCTGAAGGTGAATGAAATGCTTGTGGCACGAATTTCATTGTTTGACCATGGCCGCCATATCACTTGGATTGCCTCTCGGATTGCCCTATTGAATGTGCAAGCTTGATTTTTGGTTCTCATAAGATTATCATGATAATATGATTGGATTTTATTTCCATGTCCATTCCACCTAAACAATCAGTCAATAGTCAATGCACAAGAACTGTCAGCAAAGAAGTAGGTAAAGACATGCACGTAAAGACAGAGCTTTGCTCTTCCTAGCCGTCATATTTCTCCCCAAGTAGCTCAAGCAATCTTATTATATGCACAAAACATCTCGCGAAACACTTGAAGCAACTTCACACAAATCTTGTTGCCACATGAAAAATAAACGATCAGTCAATAAACTACACCAAATGTAACTCTTTCACCAATCTCTAATAGTATTATTGCCTATTTCCAAATTATTACTTAGGTATTTCTGAAGTATTACCGGTACTTCCGATGTATTACCAGGTATTTTCTGGGATATTACCACCTTTTCAATTATTACTAGTACTACTAGGTATTACCCACGCATTTCTTGACTTACTAAGTATTTCTAAGTCAAAGTGTACAGTGATTTACTAGGTGGTACGCCCCTCATAAATCACCATACAACGTAATCTAGAATCTTTTGGTGAAATAAAATAGGAAGAAACAATATTTTTAAATTCCTACTGGGAAAATTCATCTACCTGAAAAACCCTAAATACTTTTAGACACTTACTCATTACAGGCATCATCATCACTCGAAGACATTGAGAAAACAAGTTTTCAAAAATCTGAGAAAGATAAAATAGGCGAATTTGAAAAACTTGACAGTGAATGGCTCGCTATACGCAGACGTAGTGTTGTAAAATTCTCGGTAATTTTCGAACGTTACTGAACTTTCGGGAATGTTTGAGAATTTTCGAGAATTTATGAGAACTTTGGAGAATGTCGCAAAACCACCTATAAATTCGGCTTTTTAATGTAGGGCTTGTGAAAATGTCTAAAGTTTCACTAAATTTCCCTATTTTTTTTTCTCTGGTAGGGGTAGGTGAATTTTCTATAAATGTGATAACCCTAGTTTATATGTATCATTAATTTATTGTAAAGAATCTGATAATATTTATAAAACTAATACAAGTCTTGTTTCTTGTAAGTTGGTGTTATAAAAAACAAACTAAAAAACAACATAGATATAGGTAGCAGTGTTAGCACCAAAAAATTAAACTCAAAAATCTTCAAATGCAAATATCTACATAACATAACTACATAAAGTATTAAGTCAAAACAAAAAATAATATAAAAAAATTAATTTAAAAATTAAAATAGGAACTCTAAAAAAAGGATCTTAAAAAACGAACTTTCTGTAGGTAATGGTAATAACATTAAAAAAAATAGTTACAAAATAAAAAAATAATAATAAAAATATTCAGAAATCAGAGTCCATGATTCTCTGTTGTCCAATCAAGCGCTTAGGTAACGTTTAGAAATGCATTTTCAGCGAACTTTCGCTTAGAGAGGAGCGAACGTTCGCTCGGTAAAGTTCGCTTGTTACAACACTACGCAGACGTCGCTTCAAAATGTATGTAGTGGAAAAGATGTGTATAAACAAAAAGGCCGTGAAAAAACACTATACCTATATTCGCAACAAAATACGTCTAATTAACTCTTTTGCTGAAAAAAGTGACAGAGGATCAATTTGCCCCTGTAATAATGTATCGCGAACGAAAACTCAATAAACAATGAATTTAAGCATAAGAAAGGTGAAGTCATCTTAGTTGCATTGGTGCAATAAACAATAAATAATTACAGTAATAGTCATTATACTTCTTATCAGTTGGACGCCAAATCACGTATGCTTTTTGGCTATAAGTGCAAAAAAATAATAGTATATTGTTGTATTAGGAGTAGAAGCTAGCCGAACGTAGTGAGGCTTGCAATACTGCTGAAGCACAAAAAAGTGCTTCTACTCCGTATGCAACACGCTATTTTTTCTCCAAACGAATGGGGTAAGCTCGGAGGCAAGTGGATGGTTGAGCGGCATTAAAAGTACGAGCGGCACTAAAAGTACTTCTACTGCCGCTCCAGCGGCACTAAAAGTACTTTTGCTGCCGCTGGGGTTGCCAAGCAGCATAGAAATTAAATTTCTACCACCTCGACAGGTGTTTACCCGCTGGATTTTCCTAGCAGCATAGAAATCAAATTTCTGACATCTTGACAGGGGTTAACAAAGTGACGTTTTTCTGACGTTTGGAGAAAAACTTGTTTTTATCCAACTCTCGCTTTTAATCTTTTTTCATCTATAGTCCACTGAATATATGGGTTTTTCAAAAAAATTACGAGGGCAGGCGGCAGGCTGATTTTTTCAGAGCTGATTGGACACTTCCTGAGTATTGAGCCAAAAAATCACACTCAAAAGCCTTGTGCGTTCGGCCTTATTGGCCTTTTTCTTATTTATTTTTTTTCGACAAAATTACTTCTATAAAAGTTGTAGATAATTACATTCTGATCAACTTTTTTTGCTAGCTATTTTAGTTTAGACACTACGACCATTTAAGTGTCTCAGAATTTAAAAAAATTGAATAGCAAACCTGCAGAAAAGATTTAAAAATATGTTGAATACAAGAGTCATAGGGATTTACCTTTATTATCTTTTGCACATGACAAACAGGCAAATGACAGGTGCCATCTGTCATAATGACAAACAATTGCATTTTTTTAAATGGAACACCCTGTATATTTTTGACTAGAATGATTGATTTTGTTCTTCTTTCCAAATCCAAATATACCATATATGTTGATATTTGGTTCAGTTGTTTTTGCGCTATTCAAGTTTGAAATTTCATTAAGCGAACCTCACCATTGATATACGAAACTGGGAACAGACCTAATTTGGGTTAATGTGAATGCACTTTCAAACTCAAATACCATAGAAACAGCTGAACCAAATATCAACATATATGGTATATTTGGAATCAGAAGAAAAAATCATTCATTTTTAAAAATGCAAGTGTTTGTCTATGACAGTTGGCACCTGTCATTTGCCCGTTTTGTCATGTGCAAAAGATAATAGAGGTAAAACCCTACAACTTTTTTATTCAACTTAACAGACATATATCCACGGAACTACTAGTCCAGTGAATGAAGTATGAGTTTTTCAAAAAAAATCACGAGGGCAGGCTGATTTTTTCACAGCTGATTGCAGACTGTGTCCTGATTAGTGATTATTAAGCCAAAAAATCTGACTCGAAAGCCTTGTGCGTTCGGCCCTATTGCCCTTTTTTTATTTATTTTTTCCTTAGTAAAAGTTGTGGATAATTACATTCTGATCAACTTTAATAATAATAATAATAATAATAATCTTTATTAAAAGCTTGAAGCTAACATAGATAATATTAGGAATTACAGTACAATATTAATAGGTATAGTGCTTTCACAGTTTTTCACATGGTTTGGTAGTTCAATGTAGAGTTTTAGTCCTTTATGGAACAGGTTCTTCTATAAAAGTTGCTTGCAGATCTTGTAAAATGATTATGTATATCCTGTACAGTAACGCAGTTGACGAGCAAATGGCTAGGCACCAGTCCATGAACCATTTCATAAATAAATACCAGTGTATTATAACTTATTGACTGTCGAACACTCAATATACCAAGAGTATCTAACATTGTTTTTATATTTGCATATAAATTTGCATCCAAAATAATATGGAGAACTTGATTTTGTCTTTTTTGCATTGTATTTCAGTATTGTTTAGGGGAAACAATATTGTAGGGCAGTAACCTAAATACGGCATAATTAAAGACTTGTACACTTAGAGTTTTGACCATTCACTTAATGTTTTTCTCATTTTGACGAAGGCGTTTACCCTACCAGCAATTTTGCTTGTTATATAGGATGCATGTTTCGTAAATGTTGAATGTTCATCTATAATAAAACCAAGATATTTAAATTCCTTTACTTGTTCAATTTCAGTTCCATTTATCATCAGTCCTGATTTTCAGTTCATTATAGTTCTAACCAGCATAATTTGGTTTTTTCAATGTTAAGGCTAAGATTGTTTTTATTCAATCATGTAGATATATTTTTTATATCTCTGTTTAAGGTATTCACCACTGTGTTCCAATTGTTACCAGCAAAATATATCAAAGTGTCATCTGCAAATAGTTGAATATGACAGTCCTTCATACAATTTATAATATCATTTATGTAAGTATATCACAAACAGATTTGGGCCCATCACTGTTCCCTGATACACACCGCAGAATCTATCTCTTAAAGAAGACTCACTCTCGCCAAATCTTGTTTTTTGACTTCTTCCAAACAAATAACTTTCTATTCATTGAAGTGCTCCATTTTGAATGCCATACTTTTCCAGTTTCATTATTAACAATTGTCCCAAATGCTCTCCGGAAGTCGAGTAATAATGCCCCTATTACTAAATTGTTCTTCGATGAATCCTTCCATTTTGCTAGCACTGTCTGCAATGCAAAAACAAAAAATGCAAGTGATTGTCATTATGACAGTTGGCACCTGTCATTTACCTGTTTTGACATGTGCAAAAGATAATACAACTTTTGTATTTAACTTTTTTTTTTGTTTAAGTTGTAGAAGCCGCACTAATTATAAGTACAATAATCTGCAGATTTACTATTTAATTTTTACTGAATTCTGAAGCACTAAAATGGTCGCAGCACCTGAACTATAATAGCTAGCTAAAAAGTCATAGGGCAAACTTGGTCAGAATGTAATTGTCCACAACTTTTATAAACGTCATTTTGTCGAAAAAAAAAAAAAAATTAGAAAGATGCCAATAGGGCCGAAAGAACAAAGCTTTCTAGTCAGATTTTTTGGCTTAATACTCAGGACACAGTCTCCAATCAGCTCTGAAAAAATCACTGCCCTCGTAAAATTACTTGAAAAACCCATATATTCACTGGACTAATTGTACTTCTAGAGTGCTAGGTAGAATATACAAAGTTTCCAACTTCGTTGATTGTAATAACAAGAGATAAATATACATTAAATACAAAGTTCATCATATTTCAAAAATAGTAGGTCTTTCCTTGAGTCTTTCTATTTTGACAATTAATAGACTTACCACCTCTGGAAAAATTTTGATGAGCTTACAATTCCAACTGGAATTCATGGATACTGTTTGGTTCTAAACTTGAAACCACTGATGAAATAGCAAACTGTTATAATAAGGGTCGGAAATAAAATTCTAGAGCTATTATTAAAAAATCAGAAGTAGAGTGGAACGAATTTAGATTAAAACATAATGGAGTTGTTGCACTATTAAAAAAACAAAAATGTAATTATTATTATCAGAATAAAATAGACATTTAGAGAAAATTCACAGGAATTATGGAAAACACATGAAGAAGTAATAAGCCTAAGAAAAAAGAACATTATATTTATCTTCAACATCAATGAGGCTGATGAATAAGTTCATGTTCAGTTGGGGGTGTACTCAGGGGTGTGTGTATCTGTCAAAGTATTCGAGTATATTTTTAAACTATGGAAAAATGGGCAGACCTCGGTGCAGACTCAGTAGCTGAAAAATGTAATAATTATTATATAGAAAGTATAATAATAAAATTACCATAGAAGTAAAAGAAAATGATATGTTTACTGTATTAAAGCCCAGTTGAAACAGTCCAAGTGACCATGCCATTGGACTGTGTTGTCGACCGAGCAAATGAAATAGAGACTCCAGCTATGAAATTTGTAACTTTCGAATCACTAGACAGATATGTATGTATATATGGGTATATATGTATTACATAAATGATATATAATAAAGCCCAATTTAATTAAATTTCTGTATAAATCTACCTTAAAAAAAAGGCTACTTACAAAGGTGGTCTTCTGGAATTCGAGTTATTTTCGGAGTTTATCTCATTTCTCCTATTAGTTCTATCGACAGCAACCTGAAAAGAGAAATATGATCAACATCGATTTAGTTATGACCAATAAAAATATGCAGCTTGATTGAATAATTCGGAAAATCCTTGATAAAGCCTAATTTAATGATAATATGGAAAACATATTTTAATTTGATGGAAAGTGCTTTTACATGCTAGATAGATCTGAGGAGGAGACTTACATTTTGTTGGTTGCTGTCATTGTTTTCTTCCGCATTGTTTGTTGCCTTACGGATAGCCGGTAAAATCGTCATTAGAAAATCCTAAATAACTATTTTAATTATTAATTATATTAAGAGGAAAGTTTTAATAAAAATATTATTAAAATGATTTGTTATGGCTGACATAACATTACCCTTTGCCCACCAAGTTATATGTGACAGCTGACTTATATGTCAGCTGTCAGCCCCATAATTGTCAGCAACCAGCGAATGGCTGGTTGATCCAAGGATGATACACACTACTACAGGATGGCTCATCCTCATAAGGCCCGTGTGTAACAAATCCCCCCCTACCTCCCGGGGCCAAAAAACCAGTTGTGACGTAGGCATCATGGCGTTTCTCGTCTTGACGTAGGCTGTTTGCACCACAGGTTATGATCTGCCTGGAAATTACTAGTTTCTAGTATATTAGTCTAAATTATATCAGATACATTCAATCATGACCTTTAATCACTACTGTTGTGTTCCTCAGTGCAAGTTTTGGGCTAAAAAAAAAGCTGACAAAGGGTTAAGTTTCTACATATTCCCCCTTGAAACAGGCCCGGTTTATTTGGAATCGAATATGGAGAAAGAGTTAGTGTCGAGAAGAAAAGCTTGGATTTTAAAACTTCGTATTGGCAAACCAGTCACCAAATTCATGAAAGTGTATCCTCTGCCTTTCAAGCAAGAATTTTGTGTTAAGGTAAACAAGCATAATGGATAGTTTTCTGCTTCCTTTTAGGCCTGCTTCCAGGCATTGATCAAGTACCAATCTATTTTTAAAATGTTTTGTTTGAAAATATTGACTGTTTTTATTATTTACAGGTGAGAGTACAGGTAGAGGTCGGATATTGAAAAAAAAAAGTTGTATCATCCCAGAATTTGCCCTCTTCTATAGTGATCCATATAAACCGAGCCAAAAAATAGATTCCATGGGTGCTGAAAAACTTGCCAAGAGAAAAAGAAATCAAGATTCTAGTGAGACCGATACAAGTAATGAATATGTAGTTATACTTGTAATCAATTATTAAACTCTTCTGAGACAGACATACAAATAGCCGAGCAATCAGCAGAACGTGTAAAGTTTTTATTAAATTCTAATTACCAGTATTATAATAGGGAACTTGACAAAAAATTTAAACATGAAAATATTACTATAAATCATAAGAATACATTAATTAAAACCTATATCAGCGAAAAAAACAATTTTTTTTTGTCGCAAACGGCCACAATAGGGAATTAAAAATGCGAAAAAATTCAAATTATTTCCAGCGGGAAAAAACGCTCTGGTACTGGTCGTGACGTCATGTAGTATGATTTGTCAGTGTCTGTCAGCAACCGTCCATCATACCGTGAGTTCGTCTTGAAACACTGAGTGCTCGGAGGATCTTCCGTCTTTTTTCCTTATGATGAGAAGAACAGGGATAAAAGAACATAACATCAACTCCGAGCGTTTACTCGAACTCTACATAATATATACCCGTTAGCTGTGTTTATTTACGTTTTTCTCTGATTTTTTAAAATTTTATCATTTTTTAGAATAGACCTATCTATTTTTACCTGGTATGCGCGCGCAACACGAGGCAATGTCTTTTTATTGGCTAGCTAATACAGGTGTGAGTTGATCGTTTTGCACGCTGGGCATCTCTTCATCCTTGTTCATTGCACGTGGTCTGACAAGAATAAATCTGAAGTTGATATTCAACTTGACAAGTGTCATTCAAAAGTTGTTTGACATTTTCATTGACAAATACGTTACACAACACGCGGTTTTTCTCCTTTCCTTTTTATCCTGTGCAAATAAGAAGGACGGATTACCATACGTAAGTCTATCATAATTTGGTACGTTTTGCCTCGTCTTGCGCAATGAGCGTTCTGTGTCTTCTTTTATCTAATGAAGTTTTCGTATTATTACCTCTTTGTCTGGTAAAACAGATAGGTCTATTGGTTTACTTAACTTAAATTTAATGATCAGCTCAGCATTATATGGATAAAACGATATACCTATTAATTATGACCGAAAAAGGAAATTCCAAAGGCCAATCCGACAATCTGTAATTTGTGATATGGTAGCAAAAGTAAGTATGTGCGAATCTTTTTTTCCATTATACTTCAAAATTTACAACTCGCCGCAGCACAAAACAACAACAAACCAAATATCTGTGGAAATCAACCAAATTAAATACAATAAAGTATGACGTTTGACGACAAGGTGAAGCCGGCGCCACACGATGTGTCGAATGCCTTCTAACGTTGGACAGATAGCGATTTGTGGCATCGTGTAGCCGTGCGCTCATCGGATACATGATACATTTGCCGAATGCTAGAGTAAAAAACACTGTACCCAACGTTGGGGCCAATGGTTGGACACATAGTGTGGCGCCGGCTTAACGCAAAATCATACTACGTGACGTCATCCAGATTCGCGCGCATTTAGGGTCGTTTGAAATGCTCTTAATTCGCGGGAAACTTTAAACATTTTTCACCAAGTTATTATTGAGTTCTAGGGAATAATATTTGGGGAATACTCTTTCAAGGCATAAGTAAATGATTTGAAAAAATAAAAAAAAATGGTAAAGTTCCCTATTATAGGTAGTTCGATTCAGATTTGTTGTCAAGTTATTTGACATTGGTAATTCAATTTTTACCTATTTATAAATAAAAATAAAGAGTTATTTATTAAATATTTATTTATTTATTGCACATACAACTTATTCAAATACAGACATTATAAGGGAGATACCATACCTGTCTTGAGACCCTTTTGGCAATGTCCTATTGTGGAAAGTTTACAAAAATATAAGAAAAAGATCCGTTTAGGCTGTTGTATGGATATGATCATTTCGGGTCAGGTAAACGAAATAGAGTATAATGAATTTAGGCCTGCATCACGAGCATTATGGGTGAAAATTATTACCGAGTGTGAAACTTTCAAAAACAGTGAACAAATACGCCAATATTGCATTTGCAGCACATTGTTCTTCCTTGGCTGCTACAGTTTTCACTACCGCATCGTTTTTTTTTACGTTCAGGAAAAGTGTTTGAATAATGATGCAGTCCATAATACCTTATATCATTATTGACTCAAAAATCACTTGCTGCAGCCCGAAGCATATTCTTCTGTAGCGCAAGGTGGTACTTTATATCTCCTCGGGTATGTCTGAAAATAAAAATAAAGTTAAAATTGTATGATTTCTCAAAAAATTGTTGGTTCTACTCAACCTGTGATATATTTCCCATTCGAATAAACAATTTCTGCACTAGCACAAAGTTGCCTAGTAGATAACAAAATGTACAGCTAAAAATGTTAGCTACTGCCCGGGCCCATATGGGACTATTACGGGACTATGGGACAGTAATGTTTACAAGAATATATACATAAACAAACAATCGATTTATGCTCGAATAGGAATATGTTTTTATAATAATATGAGAAAACACTAAAAACAATTAAATAGTATAGAATAAATTATCTAATAGTTATTAATACTTACATGAGGAAATGTAAACAAAACGCCGCCTAATTATCCTAGGGCTCCATTAAATTATACATGCTGAAAACGTGTAAATAGTTACTTATATGGTAAATAGGCGCAATGACAAAAGCTAGCCAGATATCGCGCTCAGATCGCACTTTTGACCTTGATGTTTATTGATTGGTTCCATCATAGGGTACCTTTACGTTAATACAACATAAAATAATGGTTAATCAAAATCAAATATTTTTCATGACAAATTATAAATTTATGAAACCGCTGGCGCAAACAGCTGGCGACTTAGTTATGACGTCAGTAGTGGTTGGAAACAGTTGAAAATCAATATGGCGGCGATTACCCAAAACGAGGCCGATGAGCACTCCTTTAGAGTGTGTATTCTCCTTGTGGTTAATCCACCGATGAGCAGTCTATCTTTGTCTAGTTTACTAACTAGAAGACAACGAACATCCTTGACAACGAGCGACGTGTGACGTGTTTTCAACAATTGATATAAAAAAAATGATACTCAAAATTTTGGAAATCCTTTGGAAAACCAAAACTTTTTAATTTATCATCTCATTATTATAGCTTGTTTTTGTTGGCTAATCAACGCTTATGAAAAAGAGACATATATCCCGGATGGTGGCGACATCTAGGTGGCGTTAGTAAGTCGTTAGCTGTTTAAACAGCCCACGTCAAGGCGACAAATAACATGCTGCCTACGTCATAACTGGTGATTTGGCGGGCTGGGAAGGGGGGGGATTTGTTCCACACAGGCCTTTTGAGGATAGGCTATCCTGTAGTAGTAGCGTGTATTAACATGGAGCCAAATGCACCGTAAGGACTAAATCCAGATTTGTTGCTAAAACCAAAACCAGATTAGGACGAGAAAATTTTGGGTTAGTTCAGTTGACAATAGGACTTCTCTTTTATATGCAAATTTTTGAACTAATGAATGATTTCTCGATAGCAAGTCACTCCCGGATTAAACATAACTCAAGGGTAAACATAGCATCTGGGACACGCTTCTGGAGTTAAAACCAACCCGGAGATGACTCGCTATTGAGAAACCGACCCTGATGCGAGATTAAACTCCCAAGTCCATAAGCATACGGCTGTAAATAAACTTAGGGCCGGTTTATCAATAGCGAGTCACTTCCGTGTTGGTTTTAACCCCAGGGTATTTGTGTCCAGTTGCTACATTTACCCTGGAGTCTGTATGCTTAACCCGGGGGTGACTCGCTATTAGTTGTATTCCTTTCAAGAGTTTCAAACACTCGAACTACTCGCTCCGGTGTTCAGTCGCCCCCGATTTGCAGGGAACAGATGCGTGGTGCAACAAACACTTTACGAAAGAAATAAGCGCGTGAAGCCCCGGAGCTCCTCCTAGGTGTAAAAGGAATACAGCTATTGAGAGAAACCGGCCTTTAGGGCAAAATCGTAGTTTAAGTTCCACTTAAGACTAAGGCTGACCTTAAGTTGTAGCGGTGCAAATAGCAGTTAGAGAAACCGGCCCTTAGAGGAGGGCTTATCGATACGATATATCGATATGGATATCGATACGTCCGCCATGATGATACATATCGATACAAATTTGTTGTATTGATATTATATCGATATGAGAAATGTTTAATTTTCCCTGCAATCCCTGCGTTCTCATTTTCATCAAATTTTACCGATGGATCCAC